TTCAGGTGCCAGATCTTGTATACATTTCCCAGAAGGATGTAAAAGAAACATCTGCTTCCAAACTGAGAAGGAGCCAACAGTCCAAAAAACGACTCAGATGAGTCCAAGTTGGCAAGTACATGACTCGGAGTTGCTTACAGGGCAGTGGATGACTTGAAGGCTGCAGTGCTAAGTCAACAACCTGTTTTTTCAAAGCTACTGATTTTATAGGGCTTTAATTAAAATAACAAACAGATCCAAAGCAAGAAGAGTCCTTGGGAAAAGCTGTGCATACCCTGCTCACATCACATCTTTATTAGGAACTCCACCAGTCTCCGCAAGTACTGTCTTGCTGCGGGGGTGGGGGCCCTGTGCTGCAGTCTGGTCACAGCCATAGCACCTGGCAGGGGCCCACTGGACATTAAACAGGGGCCACTACAAGATAAAGTTGCTTTGGCTAGGGTTCTGAGCAGTTCTCATTGTACCTTTCTACTGTGGGTCCCAAATTCATAGGTTCAGCCAGCAGGGTATCAGAATTATTTGGGGGGAAAAATGTGTTTGTACTAAATGTGTTCCTTCCTTTGAAAAAAAAAAAGTAGTAGGGATTGAATCCAGAGTCTGCGTATACTGTAGCTCTACCACTGAGCTACATCTTCAGCCTTTTTAAAAAATTATCCTTTATATTAAAACAAGATCTCACTCATTTGCGTAGCTGGCCTTGAACTTCTAATTCTGCTGCATCTGTCTCCTGAGTAGCTGGGATTACATGTATGTGCCACCATGCCTGGCATAGACATTTTTCTTGGCCTTATGCCTTAAACTATATGTTATAATAACTATTACATAGCCTTTACATTATATTAGGTAATAATATAAGTAATCTAGAGGTGATTGAAAGATTACAGAAGGATATATAATTCATATGCAAATATTTCATCAGTTTGTATAACAGAATAATATATGAGGGATTTTAGTGTCCTAAGGGGTCCTGGGAAAATCCCCTCATGCATAGTGAGGGGTGACTGCATCTGTTCTGTTTTGCTGTTCCATCTTCTATAACTCCCTGTTCTTCTGGGAAGTCTTCCTGAGATAGCTTCATGTTAAGAAAAATAATAGCAATGAATAAATAATATCCATCTATTTAGCACAGTCTGTGAGTGCCTGCTGTATTCCAGCAGAGCGGGGGAGCTGGGTGCCAGAGGTGAGTGGCAGCACCGCCCTTCTTAAGCACTTATGGGTCATCAGATTCTGATAAGTGCTAGACGAAGAAAAGCAGGCAGGGTGAAGTCAAAGTGGAGAAATGAAAATGTGAGTGTCTGGACAATAAATATTTACAAAGGAAATTTTCTGCCTTTTTGTAGGAAATTAGCTGTTTATAGGATAAAGGAAAGCTACTTGTCAGTGGTCTTTCTCATCATCATTTATTCATTCAACACTGCTCCCTGCTGCACTCCAGACTGCTGTGCATCAGAAGGAGCTGACCACCTGGGGGAGGGTGAGAGCCATCAGGGCGATGAAGGGCATGTAACTCAGGCAGGAGCCCAGTGGCGGGTTCTTGGCAAGTCTTTCCTAGAGTGATCACCAGATTTCAGGAGCAAAGGCCATTAGTTGAGTAAGGAATTAAAAGCACGACATGAAGAAATGATATCCTGTTCTGTCTGTGTGCTATTTATATGTCACATAGAAAGGGACAAAGAGGTGTGACAGCATGGTGGGAGCAGTTAGAAGTTTTATTTTAGTGATTGCTTATTGGCTGGGCCTTATGCAAACTTTTTTATAGCCAAGCATAAAGGTTAAAACTTGAAGCCTAGGGCTGGGGATTTAGTTCAGTGGTTCCAGTGCCTGCCTCGAAAGCACAAGGACCTTAGTTCGATCCCCAGTACGAAAAAAAAAACAAAAAAACTTGGAGTCTAGTAGAAGTGGTTCTAGCCTGTGTCTGCTACTCACCAATTATATGACTTTCAACAGTTCCTTTATAAAACTTCTGAAAGTCTCATTATTTTCATCTGTAAAATAAGCATAGTAACCAATAGTGCAAAACTAGATTTTCTACACAAAATCTTTTTTTTCCCTGGTGCTGGGAATTAAACTCAGGGCCTTGTGCATGCTGGGCAAGAGCTCAACGGTGGATCTGTCCCCAGCCAAATCACTTTTCACAGGGCTGGCATGCAGCAAGTACTTAGTAAATGTTGACTTATTTTAATTGCCACTTTTGATTATTCATTCACTGACATTGTAAAGGGAACTGCAGTGTAGAAACATGCGCCAGTCACCTCTTCTCACAAGTGATACAGCCTGCATTGCATCGTGGCTGCGTTCCTGAGGGGTAGGTGTCAGAACAAGGCTGGAGAGCAAGGTGAGACCTACCTCGAAGAGCCTTGTAGGCCCTATTGAGGATGTTGGATTTTATCAAGAAGGCAGTGCTTCTCTAGGACATTTCAGTGGAGAGTGACAAGGCTGGATTTGCATTTTAGGAAAAATTAGTCTGGTGGCAATATAGACAGAGGCTTCAGGAAGGGGAGGAGATCGCTGAAAGCCTGTTAGGAAGCCATTTTATTCATCCATGGGAGTAGTCATTCCCTGCATTAAGGTAGTAGCAGGAAGATGGAGCACTGAGGGGAAGGGGAGCAATGCTGCTGGACAGTGATGGAGAGGTAAGAGTGGAAGCATTCAGCTGCTTAGAGTTTCCAGCATTATTGGCTGAAAACATGGTGGCACTGTGGGTCCAGCTGGCAAAACATGGAGAGGAATGAGATTTGAGCACGCTAAACTTGGGGTATTCTGGAGCTTCTGAAAGGAAATCTGAACAAGGCAGCTGACAGATCGAACCAGAGGTCAGGAGCAATGTCAGGCTGGCTATTTCAAGTTTGGAATTGAAGGTGTGAGTGTGAATAAGATCATTTCATCAGCCTGTCCACAGCATTGAGCACCATGGATCAGGGCTCCTTTCCCCATGGGAATAAAGAAGCTAAAAAAAAGTCAAAATTGGGCCAGGGATTCAGCACAATGGTGCTGCCTCCTGTCTCATAAAGGCAAGGTCCCAAGTTCGATCACCAGTACCAAAACAGAAAAACAGTCAAAATCACTATTTTCAGGGGCTTACGTATTGGCACTTCAATTCATGAACTCAATTCCTTCCACAATTCTGGTTGCAAAATGAATTGGACAAGAACAGAACTGAATTTATCCATAGGGTCATTTGATTCCATTCTCATCCAATTTGGTTTATGACCAGAATCATGGAAATAATTAAATTCATGAACCAAGGTACCACTGTATTAAAGTTGGGGTAGAGGGGGGAAGACATTAAACAGCAATAAGGAAAAGTATAACTTCTGCTGTCATCAAATACTAGGAATAGAATGTCACTGACAAATTGGATAATCGTTTATATAAGAGCTGTAGAAAGATTCACTACAACAAAACATTTACAGTTAAGCAAGACAGTTATTGTAGAATCATAAAGGAAACTTGTTTCACCACAGGAAGAAACTTTGCCATTCTAAAATAGAAGAAAACACATGACCTGAGAGTGGGAAACCCCTTAAGAGTAGATCACCCTTTGGGGAGGAAGTTAATTAGATAAGAGGAAGAAGTGAAAATGTGTGTATCACCAGAGAAGGGGGAAAAGGCAAGATCAGGAAATCTGAATTGAGTGGGGAGACAGGTATGTGGGCATGTTCAGGGGTCACGTGGCTTTCTCTGCTTGAGTGTATGCACCTGAGGACACCTCCACAGCCCTGCCCTGATCATAGGTGCTCAGTGAATGCCTGTGTGCCAGGTAAGGGGGCTGCTGAGAGGGAAGGAGGTGGCAGGACATGGGGCTCAGAAACACCCGTCCTAGCCAGGAGACAGACAAAGGAGTAATCCTATATACATGTCATGGCAGAGTGTAGAATGTGCTAGGAAGGAAGGGCTGAGGCTAAAATACATTGTGGCTCTCGTTGAGCCAGTGCCCCAGGCTGTCCCAGACAACCCACAAAGTGACACAAATATGGATGCTTATTCATTTAGAAGTCTGAGATTGACTGGTGTTAATACAAAATAAGCAAAATAGTCTGGGCAGCCAGAGCAAATTATCAGTGCTTAGAAGACGTAGATATGGGCCAGGGATTTAGCTCAGTGGTTCCACCGCCTGCCTGGCAAGCGCGGGGACCTGAGTTCGATCCCCGGTATGACAAAAAAAGGTGGATGTGTCCAGGAGACAATGGAGGAAGGATAGAAGGTTTTCTTGGGAAAGCAGCCAGCATGTTGTATTTATAAGTGTGACTTCTTGGTGTGAGAGAGTCACACTGCTGAAGCTGGATGGAGCCCTGAGCTCAGAGTGCATCCAGAAGCTGTGAAAGTCTCCCCATCATTTATGAGGTTCTTTTTCATGAGAGACTGCTAGGAGTGGCCCAGGGCTGACTGAAGAAAAATGCCACCCTGTAAAATGTGGGCACACCAGCTCCTTTCCCTTCTTTATTTTCCCAGAAGAATTAAAAGACTGTGACTGTCCTTAGAAATAATCGTGGGAATCCAGGGAATAATAACCAAGAAATGCTATGAGGAGGGAGGCCTCTGGTCTTTGCTAACAGTGCATTCACTTTTGTTAAATTCCTGTTGATTTTAATGGTTCCTCCATGAAGATGGTGAGTTCAGTGATTAGGTATGTGAGTTTATGGGGAAAACTAGAGCATGAAATGGCTAAGCCAAGTAAAGTTGGGCTCTGGAGCCAGCCTCAGAGCTGGAGAGAGTGGGACAGCAGCTCTGAGCAGCTCTCCGGTGAACCTAGGCTTCACTAGGGGCCTGAGACTTGAGATAATGATGCTCAACCAACTTATGAACTTCATGTCCCTGGATCCAGCCCAAGTCCCAAAGTAAAATCTCTGGAGATGAAAAAGACACCAGGCCATGAGACGTGTCTGATAGAGCTTAGCCAACTGGGTGAGTCACTGGCCTAATAAAACGTTGTTTAAAGTATAATTTTGTTGGAAATTCCAGAGTACCTAATTCTTTTTTCTCTTTTCCTTTTTATCTAGGCACTGGGAAATCACGAATTTGATAATGGTGTAGAAGGACTGATCGATCCACTCCTCAAAGAGGCCACATTCCCAATTCTGAGTGCAAACATTAAGGCAAAGGGACCTCTAGCTTCTCAAATATCAGGACTTTATTTGCCATATAAAATTATTTCTGTTGGTGACGAAGTTGTGGGAATTGTTGGATACACTTCAAAAGAAACCCCTTTTCTCTCAAATCCAGGTATTCTTTACTTTTACAGCATGTGTGCCTTGAAAATACAGGCACTTAGTCAGAGTTTGGCATTATTTGTATGGACTGTAAGCAAAAGTAGGAAGAACTGGACAAATGGTGTATTTAGGGTGACACCGATGGACCCAGTCTGCTGGATTCTATATTTTTCTCAGTTACTTCTTTAAGACATTACCTCTTCTGCTCAGTGCACTTCTTTGTGACATAGAGTGCCTTTAATTTGATACACTAAAGTTGGATGTAAAAACTGGTGTATACTATTTCTCTACATCTCTGGTCCCTAATCAAGCCAATTTTTTTAGTCTTTGTACCCCAGGCACTACAAGTGTATAACTTCTATTTCTAGCACATATAATTTATTATATCCAATAATGAAATTCCCGTGATTTTATAAGTCTCCTCATCATAATCCTGAAATATATTTCATGCTTTCTATGTATGTGATGCCTAGTCTTGTGAGGCTTCCTTTCTAGTTTGTTTTTCTTTGTTCTGCTTGTTTGGTTTTGAGACAGGAACTCCCTGTGTAGCCCAAGCTGTTCTCAAACTCCCAGCAATCTTCCTGCCTCATCCTCCTGAGTGCTGAGACTACAGGTGTGCGCCACCATGCCTGTTGCCATGAGGTTTCTCATGTATTAGGAGAATGCATTCTTTTATCCTCATAGGAATTTTTCAGAATGTTTTCATTCCTTCTTGACAGTCTACCAGAAATAGAGGATGATAGCTCCCTCCACACTTACTCATTTCCTCGAGGATCTATCTCTGTGCTGGGCATTTTTCTGTGCACCAGGGATACCAGCCAAAAGTCTTGTCACTGGAGCTTTCCTGATTGGTCAGGATTGATTGGTCAGAAGATGGTGAGTACTGTGGGGAAGGATTAAGCAGCAGGGCTAAGTATAGGTGTGGCAAAAGGAGAGATAAATCAGACACACAAGCTTAACTATCAAATGGTTTATATGAGAAATCCAAAATATAAATACAGAGCAAAATAAAAGATAATAAGAAGTAGGAACTTAGATATTTATCAAAAGGGAAAGAGAGCAAGAGATGGAGGGAGGAAAGGAGGAGAACAGAAGGGGATTAAAAAGAAAATGAAGATGTGTTCTGTGCATGTACCAACTCCACACAGTGAATGTAACTGTGTACTGCAAACATGTACCAATAAGATAGACATTTAATTAAAAAATATAGAAGGGAAAGGCTATTGCAAAGGAAACTCGATGTTTAGGCTGATTCAAAGCCTGAGGCTTCTTGGGGTGGTGAACAAGACACAGATTACCCTTGAGGCTCTCTTCATAGATTATAGTGGCAAAGCTGTTGGCAGCTTTTGATTTTTAAATGTTGCCTGTAAGTTACTGGCAACAGGGCTAGTCCACCCCATTTGTGTGGTGCCGACATCCAGGCTGTGAGTCTGCAGCCTCCTTGGCTGTGATGTCAGCTGTGCTATTTGCCCCCCATGATAATTTTCTCATGTGGAGCTGACAGGACTCAAGAGTTCTCCCAGCAAAGCACACAGAGAGCCCTGACCTCACTGTCACTGGGTGAGTTTTTGCTGTTCTATGGAGGCATTTGTACTTTTCAAATGAATTTGCAGACTCTTGCATTTTGAAAGTTAGGAGATTTTGTTCATATTTTACCATTCTCATTTGTGGCTAGTTCTTAGAAATTAGTGTAAAGGAGTCTGAATCAACTGGAGACTGCTTTGTGGCACAGTATTAGATGTGACTTCAGAGCAGCGTGCCTCTGTATTGGCAGTTACCTTTGTGCCAGTTAAATTCATAAAATTTCAGGGTTTGCTACAGGGACTGGTGACAACAGATGGTACTTATTCACCCACCACCTGGCAGGATATCCAGACCCATGCTTGCCAGTGAATACCAACAGGTGATCAGTGATTACCACTGGGCGAGGGAGCAGGCAGCCAGTGAAAAGCTTACACGCTTCTGGTACCAGCAGTGTTTAGATGCAGAGCTCAATCCTGACATTACTGTCAAGCAAACGAAGTGTTACAGTTTAGATCTAAAATGTCCCCTAGAAGGCTCCTGTGTTCAGGAGTTGGGCCTTGTTGGAAGCAGTGGCTCACTGGGGATATGACCTAGAAGTGTGTATTCTTGTTCCCGCTCTTGCTGCCTCCTTACTGCCGTGGAGTGAGCAGCATTCCTCTGCCTTACCCTTGCACTGTGCTGTTGCTACTTTAGAGGCAGCTGTCCATGACCTGAACCAACTGGAAACTGAGCCAAACAAAACTTCTCCTTTAAGTTTTAGGTGTCAAGTATTTTGTCTCAGGGCTGAGAAAGCTCACTAACACACAGAGTTATCAACTGACATGTTAAAATTGGCATTCAAGTACTACTTGCTGGTTCTTCTAGGTTTGCAGACTAATTATCCCATGTTTTCAAACAAAGCCTTGGAATTACTAGTACTCCTTTGTATATCATGTTTATATTTTCGGGCATTTTCTACATTGTTACTGTGGAAGTCTAAATATAAAAAGAGATTAAAAAACAAGCCATATCTGAAGTCTCCTCATAGTTTGAGATTGAGTTAAAGTAAAATATTATCTATAACCTTAAACTAGTGCAACTTCAAGTGAATATGACTGAGGTTATTGATTTGAATTTTTTGGGCTTCCTAGATTTTATATTTAATTATAAATATGTTTTGGTCTTAGTAATTAAACAGCTTTAATATCCAGGCATGGTGGTGCATGCCTGTAATCTCAGCACTCAGGAGGTTGAGGCAGGAGGATCGCTGTGAGTTGGAGACCAGCCTGGGCTACATAGTGAGTTCCAGGTCAGTCTCAACTACATAGTGAGACCCTGTCTCAAAAAACCAAAATAAAAATAAGAAAAAACAGCTTTAATAAATTAAGGTTTATTCCTGATATATTAGCATGTATAATAAGCAATACAATAAATTATTAATAAATTATTTTATTTATGTTGTTTCTTAGGAACAAATTTAGTATTTGAAGATGAAATCACTGCGCTACAACCTGAAGTAGACAAGCTAAAAACTCTAAATGTGAACAAAATTATTGCACTGGGACACTCTGGATTTGAGATGGATAAACTCATTGCTCAGAAAGTGAAGGGTGTGGACATTGTGGTGGGAGGACACACCAATACATTTCTTTACACAGGTAATTGTTTCAAAACAGTCACATAGGCAAGAATATTCAGATAAGTTATTTTGCTGCTTTTGCCTTTATAGATGTCTTATTATTATTTCTAACAGTTTATTATGTGATATAATATCTATAATGTGGTACATATATGTAATATAGTGAATATCATGATTATGTCAATTCTATTTATTTATAAGTATATATAAAACATATAGATAAAATGCACATATATAAAGTGAAAGATTACTGAGCACCAATCCAAAGTCCAGTTTATGATAGATTCATACCAAAAAGCAACACATCGTATTAAAAATCTTAGGCATAACCAAAATAACATAAATAGAGTTTATATAACTCAAGCTGACAGGATTTGATTGGTAGGCTGCACAGACAGCAGAAGCTGGAACTAAGTCATTTTGCTCTTAGCTCTCCTGTGTCCTAGGACTGCAATGTCCTGGGAGCCACAGAGCTCCGGCTGCACAGGAGAAGGTGTGCTCTCTCCACCGACCTACCGCCCCCTCCCCCAGCTTGTTATTAGTCTCGGTTGAATTCATAATGGCCCAATGAGTTTAAATTTGGTCCTTCTGTCCCACTGTCCCCTACCTTGATTCACATGTATCTTTGAAGAATACATAAGAAAAGGAGGAAGAGGAGGCCTGGCTGATGAGCAGCAGGTTCCCCAGCAGTGGGAAGGAAGGTTTTGATAGGGTGCTGTGGATCCCCTGAAAAGGATGGAGGTGGGACATATAAGGCCATCCTGTTTTTCTAATAGCAAAACTCAGAAATACTTCAAACAGTAGGGAACAGCTGGAAGTGGCCAAAGTGGTCATCACTATCAAAATTTTCTCCTGCCTCAGGCTCCCAGAGTGCTGAGATTGCAGGCATGTACCACACAGCCAGATAGGCCCTACTACTTCTTTTTTTTTTTTTTTTT